TTTAAAAAAAAAAAAAAAGAATTTTTGTTTTACTTAGATTTTATAGAAATGAGAGTTGAGGTTACTGTGATAACATTGTTTCATCTTTCCTTTTAGCTAAAAGTGTATCTTTTGGCTTCTCCATAATTAGTAAAATTCTGTAATGATGAGGAAGAAAAATAAAATGGCAATATCTGTTTCCACTACTTGAATGAATTATGGGCACAAAAGTTACTCTTTTAATGTGGAGAAAAGTAAATGGGAAGTATACCCTGTTGCGTACGAGTTCTTAAGACAGTAAATTAAAAGGTACAGTGTAAGAATGTAATGAGCTTGACCCTCCTGAGATCATACTTACCTTTTCAACATCCTCGCAATTTTAAGAGTTATTTATCTTTGTTTTATGGAACTCTAGTGTCACCTACATCTACACAATGCCCAGAATTCTATAACTTGGTTATAGAATTTTAAGGCTTTCCATTATCCTTCTGTGTCTTTTATGTTTCAAGGAAAAAGGGGTTTTCACAGAATCTTGAACAAATTACAGTAATTTAAAATTATGCATGCAATTAAGGAACTTTTTTTAGAGAGTATTAAATGTTGTCATACAGGAATGAATGTCATTTTGAGCAATAATTGCAGTTTGCCACTTTGGTAAATTAAAGTGACTTGCTCCAGAATGATTACTTGGTAGATGAATTTTAATTTTACTGGCATGCCAGTGATTTCTAACAGTGTAGTCTCCCCTTGCAGGCTGGGGTCATGCCGGCCCACTGGGGTCCTGGCTGCCAGTGCCTCTGGGCTCCTGCCCAGCCGGTTCTTTTCCTCACACAGTCCCATCAGAGTGGCAGCCAGCCATGAGCTTCCCAAGGCTGTGAACTGGGAGAACTGAGGCTGTGATTCTTCCAGCGGAAGGCAGAGGAGAGGAGAGGAGACAGGAATTAGGCGTGGACTTTGGCCTGACTTCCTTTGATGGAAAGGATCTGGTCATATTCTGCATGACAATTGGGCAGAACACATTTAAAGCGGTTGTGTTGGTGTGAACCTGTGGGGTACTTGGAAAACTGGGACTCCAGTGCTGCTTCTGGTTTTTCATGATCTCATTGCTTTGCCTGTCTCCTTCAGCCCCCTTTTTTTATTTTCTTGGATTCATTAAACCAGACGTTTATAGATAATATTGCCATTTCCAAATGTTATCCAGGGAGAGCTTATGTGGCAGCGAGGATCAGGAAATTTCCATGTAGTTAGGAATATATGTATAGGATGAACCATGAAACACCTTCCTTGAATGCAGAGTAATCTTAGCTAGAACCGCTACAGCCGTTAGATCACGACAGTAATTAGCGTTGTGCCCAGAGCTGATCTGTGCCTTTCCCCTGTGAGCCTCTTGTTTTCTCACCTGTCAGATTGGAGGTAACAGAAGAGCCTGTCTCATAGTGATCAGAAACCTCATCAACATGTTACCACTTTTGGAAGAACATTTGGCATCTACTGTGTGATACTAAAAAAACAAAATTCAAAGTAAATTTGAAGATCTAATTGCCTTTATTAAGGGACTCATGAGTAGGGCAGCATCCCACCTCGCAAGTAGAGTGGCACCCGGAGGAGTTGTACAAAATGGAAGGTTTTTATAGGATGGAGAGTGGGGGAAGAAAGTTATAAGCAAAAGTAAAGAAACGATTGTTCCAGGCAAGGTCAACTTGCCTTAGGGGAAAGGGCAGGGGGTCTCATGCAGATTCTCTCATCTTCCTATGGCTGGTAGAGAAGGCCCATGTGACAGATTACCTCATTGGTGCAGATCAGAAAATTCCAGATTGACGGGTTAAAACTTACGTTTCTGGAGGAGGTTGAAACTACAACCAGGTTAGGTATTAAGCCCCGGTTTGGTCATCTGGCATGGCCCAAGTAACGCCATTTTGGGCTGGTGGTTTTCTTTTTAACAGTGGTGAAGTGATGAGTTCTTTTTATTAATTTTGCTTACTTTCAGGGAACTGCGACTCGGCTGTAGGCACCTGAGAACTTCTGGATGTGCCTTTTGGTGGCTGTTATAGGAGGTGCCCACATCTGCCCTCAAATAAGCAGGAGGTCTCCCTGCTACTCTGTGCTAGTGACAGTGGTGGTGGGGAGGGGGTTGGGGATAGGTAGACCTCTGGGGTGCCAGGCACGTGGCAGGCTCCCTTCTGTGCCTTCCAGGGGTCAGGGACCTGGGGTCTTGGCCCTTCTAAAGAGTCTGCGGAAGGTGACGGACAGTAGCAGTTCGTATTTATTTAGCGCTTACAGGATGCTGAGGGCTGTGCCAAGAGCCGTATGTGTGTGAGGCATGTTCATTTTTAATCTTCACAACAACTCAAAGAAGTGGAACTCTTCTGTCCATTTTTCAGATGAGGACACTAAGGCTGGGGGCACTTGGTATCATGCCCCAAATCACACAGCTGCTAGGGTGCCTGGCTCTGAGCAAGCCCGTGCTTTGCCGCTGCATTTATTTATCACCTGCTGTGTTTACAGCCCGGGTGCCAACTAGATTCCCTTGGGAGCTCCTGGTACCAGGGCCAAGTCAAAATCTCCAAGGGTGGGCCTCCAGCATTGGAAACTTTGAAGCTCCCAGGGGGTTTCCGTGTGCAGCGGGGTTAAGAACTGTGGGCTAGGGGAAGAGCCACAAACCGATTGGGGGTTAAGTGGTAAAAATACCAGCAGCATTACACCAACGAAGGAAATGTTTTTCCCAAGAAGCAGATGAAGTGTGAGTTGATGACAGATATCTTTAGGAAAGCTCTGCCTCCAAGCACATACCTTCCAGATCAAGTCTTGTAAGGAATCCAGCAAGAAAGTATTAAAAGTACACCTTCCAACATCGTTAACAGAGTACCTATTGGGTAGAATGGGATGGCATACTGTTGTTGTCTTAGGAGGCACCTGAAGCAAGAGAGATTGAGTAATTTTCTAAAAGTCACAAAGCAACTTTAGTGGGTGATGGATGTAGTAATTAGTAGAAAAAGCAGGTTATTTTCTGGGAGTCTTGTGCTGCTGATAATCCCAGAGGCACATGAACATTTTAACATGTTCTGCTTTTACTTTCAGGGACGCTTCTTTGTAAAGAAAAGAGTATTTACCTTTACTTTTGGCTTTACTAGGTCACTGTTAATTATTTAATCCTGTGATGATTATTTGCCAGAAAAGTGAATGTTCTGTTTTTATTTAAACAGTGATTTTTCAAAGTGTGGTCTGCCAACCAACAGTATCCATACCATCTGGGAAATCATTAAAAATGCACAGTCTCAACCCTCCTCCAGACCTAACGAATCAGAAATCTGGGGGTGGGGCCTGAGGATGTGCATTTTAAGTGTCTTTTTTAAATAAAAAGTTTTTGTGGTTTTTTTATTTTTAATTTTGGTTTAAAAAAAAACCATAAAATTTAGTATCGTAACTATTTGTAAGTGCAGAAATCAGTAGTGTTAAGTATACCCCTATTACTGTGTAATAGATCTCCAGAACTTTTTCATCACATAAAACTAAAATGCTGTGCTCATTAAACAACTCATTTTCCCCTCCCCTCACCCCCAGGTAACCACCATTCTACTTCTGTCTCTCTGGATTTGACTTCTCTAGGTAGCCCATGTAAGGGGTCATACAGTGTTTGTCTTTTTGTGACTGGCTTGTTTTTTACTTAGCATCATGTCCTCAAGGTTCATCCATGGTGCAGTGTGTGACAGGACTGCCTTCCTTTTAGAGGCTGGAAAATACTCCATCCACTTCTGTTTCTCCATTCATGAGTCTGCAGACATTTTAGTTAGTTTCCTTCTCTTGGCTACTGTGACTGGTGCCGCCGTGAACACGGGCGTGCAGGTATCTCTGAGATCCTGATTTCCCTTCCATTGCATATGCTCCCAGAACATATGGGATTGCTACATCCTGAGGAAACTCCGCACGGTTTTCCAGAGCAGCTACCACTTTAGATTTCCACCACCAAGAAAGTGCATGGTCAGTGTATTCCCGGGTCATACTGTTGCACACTCTAGCTTGAGAACCCCGGATTAAAGTAAGGATGCTGCCCCTCTCCGCAAACGCTGTTGTGACCGACATTTATGTGAGAAATTAATCTTGTTGGGGGATGTTATTCAACAGGTGAGCCGGCTCCTGATTTTGGGAGGGGCCAACGTGAACTACAGGACAGAAGTGTTAAATAATGCCCCAATCCTGTGCGTCCAGTCCCACCTCGGCCACGAGGAAGTGGTCACTCTGCTCCTGGAATTTGGCGCCTGCCTGGAGGGAATGTCCGAGAACGGCATGACCGCCCTCTGCTATGCTGCTGCTGCTGGCCATATGAAGCTGGTGTGTCTGCTGGCCAAGAAGGGGGCCAGGGTAAGCCGGTGGCATTCCCCAGTGGGTGGCGGTGGGGGGAGTGTCTTCAGAGCCCTGCTAGAATTACCGTCAGCTGGGCCAGCCTCTCTACTTTGTCGAATTGCAACAAATAGAAATTGCCACACAAACAAAGGGTGAGCTGCCTGTGTCAGGCAGTGCCCAATGGTGGTGCTCACCTCCGCAGCCTAGGGAAGGGAGAGGGTCCTGTGTGTTGCTCATCAGCTCTTAACTCTGCTTCGTACTGCCCAAGGGGAGGCAGAATACCAAGGACGCCCCTGGCCACTGGCATCATGAGTGGGGGGGTCATCCTTTCAAAAGCCTGGAAATGGTGACCTAGAGCTCAATCACAGATTTTAACACAGCACTGGATTGGTTGAAAAGATTTTAGATGTTTGATGTTTTTCCTTTCTTCTGCCTATCCCATTTCATTCCATGTCTCTCTCTCTCTCAATTTTTTTTTTTAAGATTTTATTTGTCAAAGAGAGAGAGAAACATGAGCAGGGGGAGGGGCTGAGGGAGAGGGAGAAGCAGGCTCCCCACGGAGCAGGGAGCCTGACACAGGGCTTGATTCCAGGACCCTGGGATCATGACCTGAGCCGAAGGCAGACGCTTCACCGACTGAGCCACCCAGGCACCCCTCATGTTTCTTTTTTTAAATAATAAATTGAGTCCTATGGATCTTAGAAGCCACGTGCTTGAGCATGCTTGAGCGCATGACACGGGAGCTGGACAGCCCAGAATCCTCATTTCTCCACCTGCCAGCTAGGGTACAGGGCACGCTGTGGAGCCTGCGTGCCTCAGGCTTCTCATCTGTAAAATGAGTCTGACAACAGTATCTACCACAGGGCTGCTGTGCGAGCATTAAATAAATGTAACTGTGTTACTAAACAAGTTACTCTAGGACCATTAATGTTAAGAGATTAAATGAGAACAGTGCCAAGCTCACAGTAGACTCTGTTTAGGTTTACTATAAGCATTTTGTTGGGAGAGAGAGGATGTGCAATAGAAATAAATCACTGGTGTTTGTCTTTATGGTTAATTAGGATATTAAAGTTTCAACAAAGACATTAATTAGGCTTATAGTAACTATGGGAGCCTTTTTGTTTTTTCCCTCAAAAATACAACGTTTCGGACGAATGAACTTTAGCTCACCGAAGAAGAACAGTGTTGCAGTTAAGCCTTCCCAGTGGGTGCCTTTGTGCACGTCTCCATGCCTTCAGGTCTACATCTTAAATTGTGGTTTCTTTATTCCGAGGCTGGCCGGCCCCCTCCCATCATAGCTGAAAGCGCTGTGGGAGGAGGCTGAGTGTCATGCAGGTGGCTCCTGCAGAGCTTTTGGGTGGGGGTGCAGAGTGTCCCCAGAATCTGTAAGGTGGTGAGGGTGGACCCTGAGCTCCTCTACCAGTCCAGTATTTCTGGGATTAGACAGGGCAAGGCACATTGTCTGCTGCCTCTTGGACCTTTAGGAGGTAAGCCACACTTAGACACTAGCCATGTGGCGAGCTGGCCTTTCCAGGCTTTGAGGCCCCACTTTACATGCTAACATGTCCTAGCTCACCTGACTGTACATGGCCTCCTTCCCTAGTTACATAGCCCTCGGGGTCCTTTCCTGCTCTTCCCTGTTCATAGCTAGATTTTTCTAGATCCCTGCCTTTTGCTGGCTCTCCTGGTTCAGTGGCTGAACTGCTTTATTTCCCCAAATCCCAGCTTGTCACAGCAGATTTAGTGTGTTCCACTCATGGCAACCAGCATTGGGAAGCCTACGGCTTTGGCTGAGGTTTTGGTCTGTGCCTCCCACGTCTCCCAGAGAAGTTGGAGCTCTAAGTCATTTGCTGGAGAGACAGGAATTGAAGGTGCCCTGTGATTGCTAGACCTACAAAGGGTCCCTCTGGCCTGGAGTCCATTCACTACTAGGAAATCATTCAAGTGGAGATTCAGTGCTCCAGAGAAAGTTGCATTGGAATGCGAACAAACCCCACAAGCATCTGCAGTGGGATGTGGTTTGTGCACTTCATTTGGGGTGCACCCGCTTTCTCCGAGGGGAGGTGATACTAAACCGTGACCTTCTCCTGCCCCCCAGGTGGACCACTTGGATAAGAAAGGCCAGTGTGCACTGGTGCACAGCGCACTGAGGGGCCACGGTGACATTCTCCGGTACCTGCTGACCTGTGAGTGGTCGGCAGGCCCTCCCCAGCCGGGCGCACTGAGGAAGAGCCAAGCCCTGCAGCAGGCGCTGACGGCGGCCTCCAGCATGGGCCATAGCTCGGTGAGTCCCGCGCTACGAGGTCCCTCATGGGAAACTCTAAGCCTCACCCCAGTGTGGGTCAGGTGCTTTTTCCAGTCATCTTAGTTGCTAGACTGTGATGCACATATGAAAGAAAATGAGGATTTCAAGAAATGGCAGTTGGTTTGACCCACGTGCACAGACCTTCTGCTGGCGTCCCACCCTTCCCAGGAGAGAACAGAGTCCAGGGTCTCGGTGCGCATGCGCACTCACGCACTGCCCCCCCCCCCCCGTCGTGATATGCTTTCTCTGTTCCTTTTTGGCAGTGTCCCAGTTTCTCGTCTGTTGTACGTTTACCCTCCAGCCCGGCTGTCTTCAACTTTTTTCTCTTTGATTCATTCTTTTGTCCTTGTGATCTTTTAAAAATAATCACGTGGAATGCTAATTCTAAAGTTGTTAGTGAGTATTTGAAGCATTTTTAAAAATAGGACTTGAAAGTTCTGGTAGCATGTAAGAATGCTTGTCATTCACAGTTCCTGCACTGAAGGAAAGCTTCACGTAGTAGTTAAATAGAGCACTTATTTTTGGTAGGTGTCGGTATTTCTCAGTTTGAGGATTTAATTGTCGTCTCCTGACGCATGGGTCTGGGAACTTAATAACATTTTACCTGTTCTTTTCTACCTGTTTCTCACTCTGTATTACTTTCAAGCAATTAGAGTTGCCAGTATTTGGTAAGATTCTAACCCACAATGATTTTATAGTGAATTTGGGTGCAAAGCCAGCTGGCTGGCTGACTTTTTGGCATTTAAGACACAATGGGAGACACATGGACATGTACACACACACCCATGTGCACACGTGTGTGCATGCATATGCACCGAAAGCTGGCTTAATTGTGGCATTTAACACATTAAAAGTACACATGGACAGTGTGCTTAAGCCAGCACAATATATTGCAACAAGTGCAGAAATACAAGAGAATATAGCTGTCTTCTGTTAAGACATGTAAAAAAGATTTACAGCAGTATGAAACAATGCCAACCAACTTACCTATATGTTTTAGCTTTGGAAAGAGTAGTAATTTCATTTCAAAAATACATGTTTCATAGCAGTATGTTAAATGTTACTATGTAATGGATGTATTATTATTCCTTTAAAATAAAACTGTAAATATGTTTTTTAACTAGCCATATACGTAGATGCACAGAGAGCATGTTAAATAGACAAATCTGCAAATGGAGATGTTTTTCCTTTTTTAAAGTGCTCCCTAAATCTGTGTGGGAACACAGAGTGTGAAAAATCATCATAGGAAGGACAGTGAATGCCACGTATAGATGTGACCTTTATCTCAACTCCCGTTACACTCAACTTGTTTCAGAGCTGGCTGGGAGAAAGGCTGTGCAGAAGCAGCCTCCTTGGGGCCCTAATCTGTCTCCTGGAAGGGGCAGGGCTCCTTCACCAGAAGACTTGAAGGGTGTATTCCTTTGCTAATGCTGTTGGAACAAGTGACCTCAAACTGCAGTGGCTTCAAATAACACACACCTATTCTCTTACAGTTCTGGAGGTCCGAAGGCTGAAATTCAGCTGTCAGAACGCCAGTGTTCCTTCTGGAGGATCTAGAGGAGAACGTTTCCTTGCTTTTTTAGAGCTTCTAGAAGCCTTGTATTCCTTAGATAGTGGCCCCTTCCTCTGTATTCAAAGTGTGTAACTCTAACTTATGCTTCTCTCATCCCAACTCCTTCCTCTGACCTTGGTTCCTCCCGTCCCTCTTTTGAGGAGTGTGATTATGTCAGGTGTATGTGAGATGTACACCTGGATAATTCAGGATAATCATCTCATGTCAAGATTCATAATCACATCTGCAGATTCCCTCTTGTCCTATAAGGTAACATTCACAGGTTTCCAGGATGAGGATGTGGACATATTTGAGGCCATGATGCAGCCTACCACAAAGGGTGTGGATTGGGAGAAGGGAAATAGGGCCTCGTGATGATCTCCTCCTGGTGCTGTTGCTCAGGGTGAACACTGGCTTGGGGCTCACATGCTGCCGTTTCCCCGCGAGCCAGCACTCCTGCCTCCATACTTGTGATCCAAAGCGCTGTTTGATAAGGGAGAAGGGAAACGAACTAGGGAAAAGGAGAAGAATATTGTCAGTAGAAAAATCATCTGGATGATACTATTTATTTTATTTTATTGAAAGGGTATATCTTGCTTTGTTTCCTGTCTTTGTGAAAAAAACAGATTCACCATCTCCTGGCGATTTATGCAGAAACTGCACTTTGTATGATCTCCCGTGTCCTTTGTTGATTAGGCTGGCATATTTGGGTCATGTTGGAATTCATTAAAATTCTGAGTACCTAGTCATCCTGAACAATGTTGCTGAAATTTACTGAGTTTTTTTTTTAATTCTTCTCAAAGTGAAAATGTGAATAGCATATGAATTATGCTTGAAAACAGTTTTCATTATATTTTGTCTCCTTGCGCAGCATGAGATAATCATGGTTACAAAAACAACACCCTCTCTCCTTTGATACATGGGATATAATAAGCACATATGGCTCTGAGAACTCATTAAGTCACCTTGCCACTTCTGACAGGTGGTCCAGTGCTTGCTGGGGCTGGAGAAGGAACACGAAATAGACGTCAATGGCACTGATGCGCTGTGGGGAGAAACAGGTAATTATGGTTCCCCTGCTTGTGGTCTGGGCTGGCTTTCTTGATGGTTTAGCTCCCATTTTGGCCTAAATTGTTTTAAAAATGACTTGGGATGCACGTAGTCCTATTATTTTATCACAAGGCATTTGAAGTGTAGAGCTTTTAAAACTTCCCAAATGAGTAGTAAAAACTTTTCTTGAAGCAAATAAAATCATTTTGAATTAGACTAGCAGTTCCTGCAACATCTGATGAATCTCAGCTAGAAAGATGGTAGTTTCTGCTTGGTGGAGTCTTCCGTATCCGAACCAACCTGATCTTCTATGAACAATGCAGTCTGAGCAGAGTGGGAACTTCCAGCCTCGTATTCAGATAAATCAAAGGTATTGGGCAAGGAAGGCTGCAGCCAGCCTTGCAGAATGAGAGCAGGACTCCAGCCTCGGGGTGGGGGCACACTTAAAATCCTGACTACAAGCTACCAAATCCCTTTTCACTGTTGTGGGGTATGCATGTTTAACTGCAGTGTGGGAGGGAAGCCTGAGGTGAGTACATTGTAATGAAGATCTGAGTTGGTTACTTGTCAGATTAATACAGATGATGCTGCTTTGAAATTTTCCACTTGACTATTTTGAGATTCAAAAGACAAGACTTCAGGTGATGAGTTGCTATTGAATAGGTGTAACCAAGAGTGTTAAAATGCATTTCCAGGTTGTGTTTTGTGGCATACCTTGGAGATATTACAGGTTCAGCTCCAGACCAGCACAATAAAGCAAATAACACAATAAAGTGAGTCAAATGAATTTTTGGGTCTCCCAGTCCATATAAATGTTCACCCTATACTGTAGCCTGCTAAGTGTGTAGTAGCATTACGTCTTTAAAAAATATACATACCTCAATTAAAAAATTTTTGTTAAAAAAAAAAAACGGTCATCTAAGCTTTCAGTGAGTCATAATCACTGATCAGAGATCATCATAACAAATATAGTAATGAAAAAGTTTAAATATTGCAAGAATTACCAAAACGTGACACAAAGACACGGAGTAAGCAACCGCTATTGGAATTGAAAGGTTGCCACAGACTTTTAATTTGTAAAAAACACAGTATCTGTGAAGTGCACTAAAGTTAGTACCCTAAAACAAGGTATGCCTGTGTCTGAGTTCAGTTTCTACCTGCACAGAAGTATTTCCGAATGCTTCTGAATTATTTCTTAACCAGCCAAATGCTAGTGTGTAGCTCGGGAAGAGCCTCAGTTGCCCAGCAGGGAGTACAGGTCTGCACTTCCGAGCCTCCTGGTGCCCTCTCTCTGGGGTTGCTGCCTCGGGAGTGGCTTACAAAGCTAGTCTGTGGTACCTCAGGAGGAGGTGGCGTGGGCCCTGGGTCTGGGGAGAAGGCAGGACCCAGATGGGGTTTGATTATGCTTGGGCTAAACGTTACAGATTTAAATAGTGTCCTGTATTCCTTGGAGCCTTTCCTCCACCCGTTTAGGCTGCTCTGTAATGTGGCAAAAGCGAAGTGTCCCTCCACAGCCACACTGTGTTGTGCCTAGCAGTGAGGCACCCGCCGGGTCAGCACATGACTTGGCTTTGTGCTGAGCCAGAAGGTCGGAATCCCTGTGAGGGCTGCCCCACCATGGGCACTGTTTCTGTTTGCTGGGGACCTTGGAAGTAAAAGCAGTTGTTTCGCTTCGTGGTTTTGTTTGGTCCTCATTCCTGAGTGTGGTCAGTGGTGCTTTGTGTCTCAAGCGCTCTAGAATGGAGCTTGTCGGTCTCTAGCCACGGCTTGAGGGTGGGATCCTGCAAGCGGTCTTGTCAGGGGTGTGGAAAGATGACAGAATACCTGGAAGCATATGGATAAAGCAGTTCGGTATTTCTTTTTGAACCTTTGTAGAAGTTAATATGGGTCTGCTCAGTATATGTTTAGCGACGGCCAGCTGGACTTTAAAATACCCGCTGATGCGGTAACCGGGCAGGGTCTCCTTGGTCTGTGTTTGGCTCATCTTCCCATTATTTCTCTGTGCAGCGAGGCTGCCCTGTTGGTACATGGCAGTTACCTGCCCTTCTCTGCGCTCACGGCCACATTCCAGAAGTGGGGGAGCTAAGTCTGTGCACAAAATCCTCCCCCGCTTTTTTGCCGGGAGAGGCCCTTGCGTGCCTTGTGTATCTCCTTTATATTGCAGAAGTGTTGTTTTCGTGCCTGTTGCTGATTAGAAGCCGCAGGTTGTCCGTGATGACAGCTGACAGCCGGAAAGGGGGGAGCCCAGGGAACAGCAGCCCTGTGGAGGTTCCCTGGTCACTCGGGCCAGTCCCTGTGGGGTGGGTGGGAGTAGGGACAGCCATGTGCCTTCTGTACCCTGGGCGTCTCCCTGCTGATGACCTGGAGTCACCAGATGTCATCACAAAAGGGGATGGTTCCTCTCTTAGGTTGAAAGTATAATAGATTTTAAAGGCATTCATCTAAAATAGTAACTTTAATTTGGGGGTTTATTGCCGTAAACCTACAGCTTATAGAAAACTTACAGGATGTCTACTGGTTTTAAGAACAGAGAGCTTCCATGTATGTAAGTTTCCCTTTCACCCGCATCTGGGCCCATTTGCTTCTCATGTCTGGTTGATGTTTAGAGTCCAGCCCCTGAAAACCTGCTCTGGAGTCTGGTAGCTCTTTCGCACCTGCCCTCCGTGGAGAGGTGGTGGGGCCCGTCAGAGAACACGGAGGCACTGAGGAGGGAGCTGCTGGTGCGGGGCTGAGCCTCTGCTCCGTGACGTTCACAGACGTGGCCAGACAATCTCCGGCCCGTGCTTGCTTCCGGGGCAGCCTGGAACATGACCCAACATGACAGGAACCCTTCAGATGCTTGTGTTCTCTCTGTTTCAGGCATTCCTCAGTCGTGACAAGTAATTGTGCTGGCTCCCACAAAGTCCCAACCTAACTGAGTTACTGTTTCCATATCTGTGTCTGTTGTAAATTAGCCCAAACTGAAATGGTTGGAGATGCCTGACTGGTGACCTCATGCTGGTGCAAATTGTCAGAGGAGCTGCGTTTCCCAGCCGCAGGCAACGCTCGAGCCTGTGAGCCTGCTGTCTGAGTTTTGGGTCAGAATGCCTCTTACTTTGTAGGGAAACAGAGGCCCTTCTATTTCAGCCTTTGTCATTTTATGTGCAAACGTGCCTGTCTTGCCGCAGAGCCTTCCCCACCCCTGACTCCGCTGGGTCACTTTGCAGTTAACCATTTATACATTTGGTTGTTGATGTTGTGCATTTGATCAAAGGTTGTTTTCCCCAGATTGTGGGCTTGAAGAGGGCAGACACTTCCTGGTCTCTTGTGTTCCCCTGTGTGAATGGCAACTGTTGTCCCGCAGGACTTTCTGTGATGTTGGAAGTGCACTCTGTGCTCTCCAGCCTGCTAGCCACGAGCCACTGGCCTCAACTGGTGCTTGTCACTTGGGTGTTGGCTCAGTGCACAAGCTGGTTTATAGAAAACAAGGCCATCTGGTTTTAGGGTAGGTGACATTAACCTTGCAGAATAATTTGGGAGACAGTTCGTTGTTGGAGTGGGAGAGGGAAGGATCCTGTTGCTCATAAGGCCCCAGTCTGGCGGTTTCTTTGTGTCTGTCATTGCACCGGTCGTGTCCTGCTGGATTCCAGGCTGGCTTAGAAACTCTTGTCGGAGTCGGCGCCGCACGTGTGCTGAGGGTGGAGCTGGCTGCTGGCTTGCATCTTGGGGAAGACAGCTAGTAGCCACCAGACGTGGCGTGGGCGGGACTGGTAGCCCAGAGCGTGGGTGCCCGCCCATCCCTGTGTGCATAACGTCCTGATGTCCCCCTCCTGCACCGCTGGCTCGACTGCCCACCCCACATGTGCTGTGCCCCCACACTGGAAGCCCTTCCCACTGCTTTCCCGCTGGCCTGTCCACAGGCCTGAGGCCCAGGGCTCCGTGCCCATCAGCAGACTGCTCCCTGGGCTCCCCTTCCTTGATTTCTGCAAGGGGATGCCCTGTCAGGGGAAGTTAGAAGTCTGGCTGAAATCCTTCCTGTCAAGTGTTCTCTTCTGTTGCTCAGGCTATTTCAGTTGGTAAATACTTTCTAAGGAAGTTTAGTCATTGTAAATACTATGGTGTTTTTTTTTTTTAAGATTTTATTTATTTATTTGACACAGAGAGAGAGAGAGAGAGAGAGTGTGTGTGTGTGTGTGTGTGTGCACGCACAAACAGGGGAATGGCAGGGTAGGACCTGACTGCCTCTGGAACTTGAACCTGAGGTCTAGCCCTGTCAGCCGGGGCGTTTCCAGGCTGGTTTAGGGGGAGGAAGTACTCACACCTCTTTCCCTACTGGACCATGAAGCTGGGTAATGAGTTGTACTGCGTCCTTGATGTTTTCAAAGTTGCCGTCTTATCTCCCTGGAACTGCTTTAATTTCCCACTCTGTGGCTCTGCCTGCCCTCCCAGAGGTGGAGTGACCTTCAGCTCTGAATCACAGGTGGACCCAGGCCATGGATGGCTGAGCTTATCACACTCAAGGCTGCCCCAGAATAAGGTGCATACACCCCAGGGAACAGGATGCCTTATTGTTGGTTTAAAAATGACCCTTTGTGGGACGCCTGGGTGGCTCAGTCAGTTAAGTGTCTGCCTTCGGCTCAGGTCATGATCCCAGAGTCCTGGGATCGAGTCCCACATCGGGCTCCCTGCTCAGTGAGGAGCCTGCCTCTCCTTCTCCCTCTGCCTCTGCTGCTCCCCCTGCTTCTCCCCCTGCTTGTGCGCATGCTCTCTCTCTCTCTGACAAATAAATAATAAATAAAATCTTAATTAAAAAATGACCCTTTGTTCATTCAGATTTTACTTGACAGTTTTTAGAGAAAGGAGGGCTACCACTTGGTAACAGTCTAAAAGTAAATTTAAAACTTACTGGATTGAGTTTGGCATTCTTGTATGTATGGACATCTCAGAGCAGATTTTCAGGTGAGAGGCTGGAAGGAAAAGCGTTGGTCCATTGCTTGTTGGGGCATGTGGAGAGTTTGTGTTAAGCACTTCTCTAAACGTATCCTGCTTAGAAAAGCGAAGTGACTTGCTGTTGTACACCTAGGATACTCCATTTTTGGAGGTCCTCAGAATCTCACCAAGCTGTTGTTGGGGAAATCCTTGTCAAGGCATTCTTTTCTCTGCTAGTGTTTGAGAAAGTGCATAAA